TTGGTTATAAAGTTTTGGCTACTATACCCCACGAACTTCTTCAGGAAAGAAAACCTCGTAGGAATCTTTAAACTAACCCTTCATTCAATTCACAAGGATAGATTTTACGTTGTCCATGCTATATGTTATAAGTTAACTATTTCCAGTTATTTCTTCTTTGTGAATCAATTTTAATTGAACAAGAGCATATAGCATTCACTAATTGGCACAGGTATTTAACTCATAATAAATAGATAAGTACATACACTTAACCAACCTTTTTATCCTTAGACTGTTGTCAATAAACCTTCACTACTAAAACCTGTCTGTTTGTACATGATCAGAAGCTTTCGTAAAGTATATATTTTTACACTAGGTCAACTGAGCATGTTATAAGGGCATAACACTTGCGTTGACTTTTTTCAGTCGTCTTATTTTCCAATATGTTTATCTATCAATTATTCAGACTTCATTATAATGAGGTTGAAGACCTCCCCACACATGCCAGATTTCATAATGTTTTGCAGCTTTCCGGCTTTTTTTTTTTTTTTTTAGAAGATGGCTATACTATTAAAAATAGACAGAAAAACGAGTTTTTCTCACTCCATTTGGAATATAGAGTCACAGCCACGCTACGGTAGTGTTGCTTATATGTTTTCTGTAACAATTACTACACCCTTTTTTGGGGGTGTAGTTACCATTCCATTCCTACGCGGTTTTCAACTCATCCTTCTCTTACACTGATTAAAAAACAAGGTTAGAAAGCGCATTCTACTCTGATATTTACCCTTAAGCTGTGGGGTTTTCTATCACAGCTGCAATGAATTTTATACACGAAATTATTAATCATGTCCTCTTCGATGGAGTCTTCGTTTTGGCATGTTGTCTTTGAAGGAGGGAATTGCTTTTGAATACTGGTTTAAAGCGCAGATCTTTTTAATCCTATCATACATACCATAGTATCTTTTTTCTCTTTCTTCCTCATATTTTCTTCAACCTTTTGACCGCTACTCGAATAAACTGATCATGCTTTCAGATGTTTTTCTAAAGAGTGTTCATAACTCTGATCATCTCCTGCCAGTACGTGTCTAGTTTGTTAAATCGAAATTGCCAATGCTGTGGACAATGGCCGATACCTTTCTTCACACTGTACGGATTTTGGTTACCGAAGTTTCGTCTATCGATTGGCTTTCTATTTACGTCGCAATATGTCACGAGTCTCACAGCTCACTAGAGTCGCAGGGGCACAACATGTACTGCAAATATAGCAGAAATATGGCATGACGGAGCACATCCCTCTTCAAGTTGGTTTTGAATTCAGAATTTTCCAGTTCCAGACTAGTTGCCACCTCAAGGCAAGAGAACTAACTTTGCCATGTTATTTAACCCATAGTTGTGGCGGCAATGAATGCATACCTTTTCAAATGGAATATGTGCGAAAGGAACGAACTCGACCGGAATTCGAACTCGGCTCGTCTATTTCTTTAGCACATCCTAACTATATACAAACATCTTTAAACTTTGTTTAGTGTCGATTATTAATTGTGTGTGAATTAAATCTAAGAAGACAAGTCATTTATTTCTTTTTCCATCGTGAACTGAATTAAAGTTATTATAAATTATACGTCGTCCGGCGATATTTTCGCATCTTCCTTGTGAGGTTAGACTATGAATGTGGCATTCACTTTTCTATGATGGTTAAATTTAGTAGTGTCTGTTTTTTTAAAGCCATTTCTTTGATGAATATCCTATATATGATTGCCATCACGGAAAATAATGGCGATTCCATAGCTAAGCCTTCTATCAGCCGGTAAATGTCATATTGAAAGTATGTAGTATGGTATATTACATTATTGTTTAATGTATACTCCATTTACATTATCGTTTAATGCATGCTCCCAAATCGACGTTAAGGAACGTGGTTCTCGTTCCCTGAAACGTCCCTTTATCTCTAAACCCTTTCTCGTCATCTTTCTTTCAGTACCTAATAAACGCCGGTTACGTTTCGTGTCGGCTCTCTCTAACTTGTGTCTGTCCTGTATTTAATGTAACATGGTGGCAGCGAGGAAGTAATTCACGCTTTACAGCCCTGCAATTGAGGACTGATACCAACAAAAATGGCAGTCCCACATAAGCTGTTTCAGTGGCGAGCTGCATTTGGAGTGACGTTAAAAAAAAAGTGACCACATGCGTGAAAATGGCGAAAGGATTTCAGTCAAACATCGCCATCGGACAAGCTGGACACTACCAACAAAAACGGCAGTTCCACGTAAGCTGTTTCAGTGGCGACCTGCATTTGGAGTGACGTTAAAAAAAGTGACCACATGCGTAAAAATGGCGAAAGGATTTCAGTCAAACATATCGCGACGGGGTAAGGTGGACACTAAGATTAATGCTTTCAGAAGGATGGCAGCTTTGCAAACAGATGTAGAATAACTACCGTATCGTGACCAAAGTACGCCAACATAAGGAATACCAAACGACACTATTTCTATATGCTATCGGACCAGATGCATTGATAATATACAACGGTTTTCAATTCGATTCAATGGAAAACAAAGATGACATGGGAACGGTAATAGCCAAGTTTGATCAACATTTTATCGGACAGACCAGCGAGACGTATGAACGATATGTCTTCAACAATAGAGACCAGGAACAAGGTGAAAACATTGATTCATATCTAACTACGCTTTGTATGTTAGTAAAGTCTTGCAATTTTTGTGAATGTTTACACGATTTTTGGCTACGCGACCTCATAGTTCTGGGTATAAGAGAGAACGAGGCACATACAAGTATGCTACAGCTTTCAACACTAAATCTCAAACAATCTATTAACATATGTCGTAGTTAACTAGCTACTACTACGCAGTTGAAACTAGCTATGAGAGACCTGAACGTGACAGACGAAATAAACAGAGTACAAAAACAGTTACAAACAGAAATACCCCACTAAACAGGGACAAATCGACTGTAATTTCTGTGGCGAGACACATGAAAAAACGGAAAGAATCATGTCCCGCGTGCGGCTAAAATTGTAAACTTTGCAACAGCAAAAACCATTTTGCACTGAAATGTCCGAGGAAGCATTCTATAGAAAAAACAGAGATTTAGACTAAGCATAAAATTAACTGTTTTTTTTTTTTTTCAAATTCTTCTAGTAACACTGAATATGAATATGAGCTATGTGTAAACTCAAAGAGAGCAGCTAGATTATCTATGCAAATATGATGCTAGAACAAAAGGAAGGTGAAGTTCCAAGCGGTCCGTGGAGCTACCATGAATATAATCCCACAGAGATATGTGTAATACCTATCTGCAACCATCTACTATGAAACTCAAACTATGGAACTGGACGGAACTAGCGAAGCCTGTCGCATATGCAAGCAGAGACCTCATTGAGGCAGAGCAGAGATAGCTGCAAATAGAAAAAGGAATGCTTGCAATAGTATTCTCATTAGAGAAATTTCACCAATACACCTATGGTAGAAACACAGAAATTCACACTGACCACAAACCACAAGAGGTCATAGTGAAGACAGCACTCGCTAAAGCACCAACGCTTCCCTGGGGAATTTTACTACGGACCCCAAAATGCAACATCGGCGGCGTAGTATATATCTAGAAAAAGCGCATGTATATTGCAGACACACTATCATAGTCATACTTGACAGATGAGAAGAACTGTCAAATAGAGTTTGAGCATATGAATATGGTCAGCTTTCTTCAAATACGTGATGAAAGGTTTGGACCAAGTGACAAGACTCTGCTGGAACACATATAGAAGGTTCAGGCAAAATATTATGACTGTCATACACGTGATTGATCTGTGCTGAGTGAAGGTGATGTTGTACGAATGCGCCCGTACAAGAAAGGTGATCGAGTGTGGGAGAAAGGCGTTATAAATCACCGAATGGATGAGCGTTCATACGAAATCAAGACGGCGAGTAGAACCTATCGGCAAAACAGACGTCATCTACGCAATTCTTCTGAAACAGTAGAGCATGCAAGAAATGGTCAGCTACCACTAACCACTATAGACACTCTAAGTATGCCATATGACATGGCAAAAACACAAAGACCTCCTGAACCTCTAACAGTATCCTCATCAGCCTCAGGCACTAATACAACCGAACAAGAAAAATGCTAATCTGCTGGGATCCACACATATGCTGGACGAGGGATAAGAAAGCCAGTATATCTGAAACACCATGTCAAACTGGTTGAGGACTATGTTAAACTGGTTAAAGACTGTACGTAACACCGTAATCTCTACTTACAAAAGGCGGGGGGTGTTACATTATTGTTTAATATATACTCCCTTTGCATTACCGTTTAATGCATGCTCCCAAATCGACGTTAAGGAACGTGATTCTCGTTCCCTGAAACGTTCCTTTATTCCTAACACTTTTTTCATCCTCTTTCTTCCGGTACCTAATAAACGCCGGACACGTTTCGTGTCGGCTCTTTCAAACCTGAGTCTGTCCTGTTTTCAATGATTTAATGTAACAATGTACACAGAATATCAACAATTACATTAGGCTGTCTATTAGGATACTGATCGCTACCGAGAGGAAGGATGAGATTGCCGTTATGGTTTCATCGGCACAAATGATCCATCTGAATTAGAATTTAAATTTGGACAACGAAAACTCACTTACAATCCGCCCGTTCAATTTCCCATGCCGGTCCCTAAAAGGTGAGAGGTGAAATGAGCAAATTTAATAATTATTTCTAAACGTTGTAGGTAATAAGACCCTTATTTTAATCCACGTCACATTGAGCGTCATTACTTTATAAAATAAAATATAATCATTCAGAAATATTGTTCGTGATTGTTAAAGACGTTATACAAGTAGAGTAATCTAAAGCAGTGGATCGCTAAATTTAAAAGCATTTAAGGGCTTAAGGATTTTGTAAGTATTTCATTTGCCATTGTATACAACTGGGAATAATGGAGGATTTGAAAATATCTTCAGTGCATTTTTCTTTATATTCGAGGCTTCAAACTCAATAAATGCTACCTGTTCCAGTGAGATCAGCGAATTTAAGCAACGTCGATCCTGTTTAGTACTCAGATGGGTGACCGCTTGGGAATACCTGATGCTGTAAAATGGATATGCGGTTGGTGTAATTAGACTCGGAATTGTTAATCGGAGAGCAGAGTTCCGATTCCCGTTGGGTTCGTTATATACCCTTTCCTGCACGTACCCTTGGGGTAGGTATAGATCCACCTCTTCTCCTTCCAGCTATGGGTTAATCAGTAAAACAAAACCAACAAAAAAAAAATATATATATAAAGGAAAAAGAAAGTATAAATGACAACACACACGAAAAAAAAAACAGAGCAGATTATCTTTCTTTAATCATTTCACCCCAAGCAAGGTGATAATGCCACTTGGAAGCCAGTTTTTACAGGAATTGAAAGAGAATAAGAAGACTTTAGTCAGGAGAAATAAGGAAATAGACAATAAAGCAACCGGAAGATGGCGATTAACGTTGCATTTACATTTTTGAAGATTGTAGTTGGCAGGGAAGCAAGAAATCGGAAGGGATTTCCACAGATGAGAAATGCGAGAAAATATCGCGTTACCTACAAACTCCATAATTAACGATCTTGAGAGAATGTTATCTAATCTCAATGTAAAAATTATTAAAATATTTCAAAAGCAGATAATTAATCAATGCAAAACAGCAATAACTTTACATTAGAAGCAGGAGTTTAGCAAACAGCATGTAAATTATGCCTCTCCACAACACATCGGCGAAGCACCCAACAAAATAAAGAAAAGAAAATTTCGCAACACATTCAATACATTTCGATACCATTAGAACCTTTATAATCTCAATTTTGACTTGGAAAATTCCTTTTTTTATAAATATGAACATAATTTACTGAGACGAAGTTCCATTAAAAGTGCCCGATTACCCGGATAAAAACAAACATTGTTAAATGTATGGATAAAAACAATTTTATCCATACATTTAACAATGTTTGTTTTTATCCACACATTTAACAACAACAAAACATCTTTTAAAAGGAACATAAAAAGGTCATCCTCTGAAGGAAAAGTAGAAACAGAATGTCAGTTGAAATGACATTTATAGATTCTGATCAGAAATATACAATAACAATAAAATGTTAAATTTTCTTTGCAGCAAAGTTTGTTTTATCAAGTAATTAATTGTGGAATGTGTGGATAAACTTTATGGTGGTCAGTCTAATGTTTCTGTGAGTGCCTGTACCAAGTCTTAGTTGGCGGCTGCTAGCTCATCTCTTTCATCGTGTGTGTGTGTGTGTGTGTGTGTGTGTGTGTGTGTGTGTGTGTGTGTGTGTGTGTAGATCAAACTGGCCTCCGAAATTCTTTTGAACCTCGATAAGCAGCCTGCTTCTATTTTTATATCCGTAAGGGAAATCCAAAATCTAATTTCACATCGAGGTGTGAACTTTTTGAATACAAGGTTTTCATTAGTTAGAAGATAACTTTACACTGGCTCGCTAAAATCTTTCTTCGAATTTGTGGGAATAATTAAGGGAGTTATTGTTTTTTTTTTTTTTGTTTTTTTTTTTTTCGAAATGGTCCACCCAGAAACGTGGTTGGTCTACAACTACGCCTGCAAGTATTTTGACGGCATTTGTTGTTGAAAAATATATAAAAGATTTAATTCCTCTACCATATTGTATGAATTTACTACAATTAATATACAAGTGTATTATTTCAGTTTAATGCCTTTTCTTACAGTTTTGTGTTTTCTTTTAGATTTTTTTGTTTCTTTTGGTATTGTATATACCTGTGGTTCTCAACCTTTTTAAACAACGGCACGCCTAGGAGCAAATGAAAATATTACGATACACTTAGTAAAACTGTTAAAGGGTATATATTTAAATCTTATGAAATAAAACCATATATATTTTTAAAAATACACACAAATATGAACTTACGTTATTTCAATGTTTCTATTCAACTATTTGTGCATCTTATTTACTGTGAAACCTGTGACTGGTGTTTTTCGCGATTTCATCAATGTTTGGTCGAATGTGCGATAATATTACGCGGCAATAAGTGTATCGCGAGGCAAAATAGTGTGCTGCGTCATGGCGATTGAGAATCACTAGTGTATATAATAACTAGGATAAAGGAGGATTTTAAACGAGATTTTTTTTCTAGCTTTTGTCACCATCCGATTAACTTTGGCTTTTTCACACTTGTGAAGACATTATATAGACAGTGCTAATTCTAGCAGGAGTTCATTTCAGCTAAAACCTAAGAAGCTTCAAAATTTATTGAATGGATGGAGAATTTATCACGCCAAGCCTTAAGGATAAGAGTAACAGTTATAATAATTCAAGGAATACAGTTTCTTGTTGAATAAATGGAACAATAAGAAATATTGTTCGATAAAACTGAATTCAATTCTTAGAAATAAAGACGCTTTGTTTCTCTTAATATTGTAAAGATAATTCAAGATAGGAAGCTTTTGTAGCAATGAATTAGAATTTTCTTTTTCGCCTAATATCATTAAATTCTCCTTCCAAACACTTCAATTCGTGAAACTACGACAGAAAACAAAACCGTGAAAAACATCCCATAATATTTTTTTTTACTTCCTTGGGATTGTAAAAAAAAAAAAAAAAAAAAAAAAAGTGAGAGAAGAAAAACGGTTTAGAATGAAGCAAATCAGCTTCGACATAATTTCCACTCATCGAGACTATGACGTTAATTTTTATTGACAACTAAGTCTTTTTTCAAAAGAAAGTCTTTACAACAGAAATGTTTCCCTTCTTAAATTACTTTATTGGTAAAAGACTTTCGCATTTCCCGTTGATGAAAATGGTCGGAGTCTATTCACAGGCAAAACCTATGATTTCAAATGTTGATTTTAGATATGCGAGTCCTTTCCGTTTAGGAGATTGGCGCCTCACAATCTTAATTCTACTCCCTATTTGTTCTTATACTGCACTAAGTTAAGCTTCAATAATCTGTTAAACACGAAAGTTCTATAATCCACTGGGAAAATAAAAAGACTTATGACAAGTTAGCTGAATCCATGGAAAGTCGGGGGCTTAAGAAAACGCTTTCTTCTCGTAATGTTTCTTCGTTAAAACTTTCTCTTGTGCATTAGTTTCTATTAAATTGATTTTCCAATTATCTACACCAGGCGCTGATCTGAAATCCTGTTGACCTTTGATCTTTGAGGCCAGTATCAATTAAGACTAAACAAACATTTGTTTCTTATCAATCTTCAAATGTGACTTTCTTTCTAACCTAGCATATAAACTATTGGGTTTAATTTTAATTGGCATAATTATCAGGTGTTTTTAATCAATAATTATTATGAAAAAAGAAACAATTCAACAATAACATTTTTAAATGAGTATGATTATCGACACGCATTTTTGTAACCTGAAAATAAAATATTTTTATTAAAAAAGTAAACAAAAGCAATTTTTATTAACAAATAACTCGCCTACAAAAACGCCTGATAATTATGCACCAACCCAATATGTTTTTTTTTTTACTGTAGGTTAACTCAATACAAGGCACAAAAGCCACTCAAGGTAGAGGGTTACTGAGTGAGATTGTAAGTCAGGGGAAATTTAAATTATTATGAGGACGAGTAGGATAGATAACGGTTGACCTTGGACGTAAAGATACCAAGATTGTGGTTATCAGAGGAGCATTCTCTCGGAAGTTTGTTCCATAAAGAAACACTTCTAATAAAGAAGCGGTCTGAGTGGTACTTGCTGTTGATCAAAGGAATGCAAAGTAAATGATGAACATGGTATGACGGATTTGAATATCTGCACTGGTGGAACTAAGGAATGTAGCGCGTTCGAACATTTACCATAGTCATAGCGATATAGAATTATACGCTGTAGCGGTGACCCAAAAGGGCCAGAATCATGTGTATGTTTTGCAAGGGAGTGTGGATACGGCGAATCGACGAGCTTCGGACGGACGGTGAATCGGACAGCACTTCGTGCTGATGGGGGGGGGTGTCGCGTGTAGCCATTTTTATTGGCTGGTTCTGGGTGCTCAATGGCTGAGTGTTGGCTGGGTCAGGGGTATAAAAACATGGTACGCTCATTCAGCTGTTCGTTTTAGGATGGTGAGTGGTGCTTTGAGGCGAGAAGTATGGATTTGTTTTGCCTAGTGAACCTATTAGACTCGTACTACCTTTCTTTTCCTATGTGTGCTTCCAACCAATTACATACGCTTACATTATGTGTATTATATGGAGCTTAATTTTAACTGACTTAACAAGCAAGATCAAAATAATTATATAAAATATAATGCTTGAATTAGCGCAGGACCCGACCTAAAGTCTCATAAAACTTTCACACGCAAGAAGGAAGTCTTATTTTAGATTTTCACCCATGAATCCCTCCTATGTATGCGACACTGCAGTTCTGTGGACGGAGTTAGATTAAAAGCTTTCATTTTATGCGGGTCTTTTCGCTAAGGTCGTCACCTTAACCCTAGCATAGTGCCTTCCACGATTTTCCCATGTTATCGTTATACAAGGCCCAAGACCCGCTAAGGTTACTGAAGGGGTTGTGTGAAAAGCAAGAGGTAAGCCTTTATGAGGATATGAGTGAAAGATAACATCTAACAGATTAAGATTGTAGTATACGGAAAAGGATCCTCTTGGGAGTCAGTTCCACACAAAAAGCTATTCGTGAGAAGAAGCTGTTCCAGTGGAACTTAATTCTCGCTAAAGGAATGAGGGTGGTTTGCCTCAGTGTAAGCGGCATGACGGGCCTTAGGTGTAACGGTTAGAGTTAATGGGACTAAGAAATCTAACCCATCTGAACATTTTCCACGAAGATAATAATAGTGTAACGACAGGCGGAAGTGTCGTTTTGCCCGTGAATTAAACCTGACAATAGATATAGCGAAAGAATGAATCAGTCGAAACTTTATTTTAACAACAAATATACACAGCAATTTGAGCATCCGAACACACACACACACACACACACACACACACACACACACACACACACACATATATATATATATATATATATAAATAGAGAGAGAGAGAGTCAGAGTCATCCACAAACAGACTGCTTCTCTGTATCACAGCTCTTGAGTGTAGCGAGACT